ACAGTCGACTACATGGGAGTCCAGCGACATAGCCATTACACTAACTGCTGGTCCCATGAAGAGGTTTTTTTTTGTTTGTTTTTTAATTGCTAGAGGGGTGTGTGTTCACCAGGAGGAGGGGGGAAGGCAAGAGAACGAGAGCACACACAAGAGCACAAGTACGCAGCCCTGGTGGATGAGTCACGTGTAAGCGTCCTGCACCTCACATCTGGTCAGCACGTCGAGCACACATGCCTGCCGTGGCTTTCGAGCCACCAGGGCCGGGATTCTGACCGCAGGCAGCCATGCAGGGTCTGGTCTCATGCACAGGGCTTCTCTGCTGTGCTTGGAGCCGGCCTGAGTCTGGAAGGATTGTGAGCAGAGGAGGGAGAGTCTGATGACTTCTTTTCAACCCTTTCTTGCTGTTCTGTGTGTACTCCCTTGTTAACATTACGCAGAGCCGACCCTGTACTGAGGCCCTGTCGTACAGCGCTGTCGTGTGGGAGTGCAGTACGAGGTGTGGGGTCCAGCCTGCTGATGGGAGGGAAGGGGTGGTCTGGTTTGGAGTTCAGGTAGCTGCCATGTGCGTGCCGGTGTGAGGGCCAGCCGGCGGCGTGGTGGCTCAGGTGGCTGGCGCCCTCGTGGCTGAGAGCAGTTCACAGTCCTAGACCCAGTTGCCTGGATACATGCCGGGCGCATGTGAGTGGGTGCCCCGAATCCTGAAAGGAGTAAGAAAAGAGAAGGGATCGCGGCATGACTGGCCCCCGTGAAGGGTCTTTCTCACTTTCTTCCTCTTTCTTTTTCTAGCCGCTGTGCCCTGTCACCCCGCTCTCCCCGGAACTCCGTCCCTGCCCACTGCTCACGGGCACTGCTCCGGAAAGCCTCTGTTTCCCCTTTCTGTGTCGTTAGCTTTTTTCTTTCTACTGGATTTTTCCTGTTGGCATCCAAACGTGTTACTTCTCTCCTTAAACAAAACCCAAATGTAAAACGAGAGCGGAGAACCAGGCCCTCTCTTAACCCTACTCCCCACTAGCTGCTGGCCAGTCCTGGCCTTGCCCATGGTGCAGGCCTCTGGGAAGTGTGTGTGCCACGCTCCCTGGACTCCGCTCCCCCTCAGTCTGTCCCCGTTAGGTTTCTGCCCTGCCACCCCCGAGACTGCATTTATGACATCACTGGTGACCTTGTTGCAGGGTACTGGGGGGGGGGTGATTGTGCGTTGTCCCGAAGGCCTGGAACGCTCAGACGTCCAATGGTTAAGAGTGGTTCCAGATAACGGAGCAGCGTGTGCTGTCTGGGAACGAGGACACCTTTCGAGACCCCTGAGAGGAAAACTCCAGGGTCCCCTAAGTGAGAATGCAAGGCCAGGAGAGGAAGCCTGTGCTGCCTCTGTAAGGAAAGGAGCGAGGGTGTGTGTGCTTCATACTCACTGAACTACTCAGAAGAAATGATGGATAATTCAGAATTGTAGGGAAGGGCATGGGTACAGCGAAGCCTCTGGACCTCTTTCTGTAGTCTTTACTTCACTGCCACTTATGTATTGGGTCATCAGAAAAGTCATGATGCATTTTTGCATAGGAAATAGAAAAATACATCATGAGCTTTCCAGTGACCCAATAAATCATTTAAAAACAGTAAATAAAAATTAAATAGAGAGAAAACTGTAGGTTCAAACACAAGAGTTTAATAATACTTGGGTGGTGACATAGCTACAAGAATGATTTCGAGTGACTTTGGAACACCTATGTTGACGGTAGCTCTTGGTGCATGTATGTGTCTCAAGGACAGAAACTGCCACAAGCAGTCCCACACTTCGAGGCCAGCAGATGGCGAAGTGGTTACGTCACTGGATTCCCACGTGGAGGAATGCAGTCCGAGTCCAGGACCTCGTGACTTGACAGTAATGCCAGGCAGGTGTGCACGCGCCCAAGATCCTGGGAGGAGAAGGAAGGAGAAGGGATCGCGGCATGGCCATCCCTCCTTTGGGGTGATCTTTCACTTTCTCTCTAACTGTCTCTAGCAAGTGCATGTGCCCAGGACAAAAACCTCTTAAAACTTACACGTCATTCAATATTGTTAGTAACAATTGTTATTATTTTGAGAATACATATAAAAGGATAAAGTAAGTAGATCTACTAATGGTATATATTTGTTAATGTTGTTAGCAAGAAAGATTATAGGGCAGAAAACATAAAATAAGTAAAAACTAAACCATTACTTTCAATGCCAGATTTAAGTATGAACTCAGGATTTACATTTCTTTTTCTAAACACATATACTCGGGGCCAGCCTGTGAACGAGGTGGTTAATGCAGTAGGGTTTCACATGGCTGGCTCGGGCTCACGTCCTGGACCTGGTGGTTTGAGACTCACCGGGCACTTGGGCGTCCGGTCCAGAACCGCAGAAGGAGCAGTGGCGGCCGCAGACTCCTGTGCACCGTCCCTCACAGGTGGGGCAGCTTCTCGGTTTTCCTCTTTCTTCCTCTCTCTCTACAGCAAGTGCATGTACCCTCTTGCAAATTAAAAAAAAAAAAAATAGCCAAGAAGAGACATAGTTCAATCTTGTGTGTAATTGTCGTTTGACTTTTTTTCTTTCTTTTCAGTGTCTTTTTGCTCTAGGGCACATAAGGTTGCTGGAGAGAGACAGAGGCAGAGGGAAAGGGAAAAGTCCCCGCCTGGCAAAGTGGCCAGCCGCAGTCCTTTCTTCTCCCTTCGCCTTCCCACCCAGGCAGCTGGCAGTTCTGCAGATGGCTCTCCAGAGGCCACCAGCTGGCTGTCCTCGGATTCAGTTCCGGCAGCCGGTGTCCTGCTGCACAGGCGGAGGGCTCAATCCCACAGGCCCGCCCCACTTCAGACACTGGGCCCCGCGGCTCTAAGGGGCGTCCCACGAGCCTCCCGGAGTGCCTCTGGCTCGCTGCAGTGAGTCCCAGGACTCAGGAAAACACTTCCCTCCACTCGCCCTTCACTGTAAAGTCAGCAGCCGACAGATGAGCAGCTCTGCGTGGAGCCGCTGGGAGAGGGGGCGTGGGGCTCCCCGACCACTTCGGGCCACCCCCTTCGGCGCTCTGTCTTTTGCCTTCTTTTCCTTTATCTCTTTTCAAGTTTATTTTTCCATGAGCGAAAGGGGGAGCGAGAGAAGCACCCCAACAGGGCCCTTAAACCTCGAGCCGCCCAGCCCGGCTGGCTGGGGTCACGGACAGGCATGCACTCGTGTGAGCTCTCAGGGCGACCTTGGCGGGACCAGGGTCTTCCCACAGGCCTCCATGCCGTGGAGTGCGCGGCCCGCGGTGCGTGGAGCTTCGTCACTCTCACTGCTGAGGCAGTCACTGGCCTTGGTTTTCGCCTCGTCCTTCCACCTCCTCCTCAGAGGCTGTGGGTGGGCTTGGCGCTTCAATTAGTCACATGGTCGGTTCCCCAGGAGTCGCCTCCATCCGGAGCCTGTCCATGGGCCCCTGGCCACCAGACGTGGCTTTAGCGCTCAGATGCCACTCATCAGTTCAGAGCGCCCCAGGGTTGTAGGAGATCGGAGGAAGACCGGATGAGTATTTTACAGTGCCCCAGCGCCCTGCTCAGGGTCCTATGTGTTGATGAGGTTTCAAGGCCCGTGATACATACTTTAAAAACTTTCTGTGTTGCTTTTGGTGGTTTGCGCATAGGAATTCTACATGCACAGTTTAGGAATAGCACAGTCAAAAATGCTTCCAGGAGAAACTAGGTAATGCCTAACAGTTAAGTATTCTGGGGACCAGCAGTTAGCGTAATGGCTATGTTGCTGGACTTCCATGTAGCTGATTGCAGTTCAAGTCCTGGACCCGGTGGCTTAAACTCACGCTGGGCGTGTGTGCATGCGTGCCCAAGATCCCGAGAGGAGAATGGAGGAGAAGGGACTGTGGTGTGGCCATCCCCCCTGGGGGGGTGACTTCTCGCTTTCTGTCTCTCTGTCCCTCTCTCTCTCTTTCTGGCGCACGCACGCGCCCTATAGCAAATACCTCTCAGGAGAAAACAAAAAACAAAAAAACCAGTTAAGTATCCTGGAAGGACGCTGTACCGTCCCTGGTCTTTGGTGCATAAGGGTGCCCGAACCACACAGGTCTGGCTCGGCACAGCACTGTCTGTTGTGGCTGCCTTTAATATACGGTGCATTTGTAATAACCGTGGAATGTGTACTCTGCTTACAAATGGTTAGTTTGTGGCTTGGATTTGGCGTAGTCAGCACGTGCTTATATAGTTATACTTAACTGTGTTAATAGAATTCAGGGACTGTTTGTCTGCTACTGAGGCATAAAAAAATAGGCCCTAATGCTTTAATTTTAAGTGATGCTTTAACTTATTTAAGTGAGGTTAGCAGTGTGAGCACTTAAGACTTATTGCTAAGTGTGAACACGCCAGGGCGCACTTCACACTGAGGCTGTGTTCAGAGGTGGCAGCTGGGTCTCCATGCACGCGTGGCCACTTTTCTTGAGTCTTATGTTTTTGAAAATTTCTACAAAAGTATCCATGAGAGTGGCAGGAATAATAATGATAGGTAGCTAAATCCAGCGGCTTTTCAATGAAAAGCAATAAATCATTCTGCATGGTACAAAAAGAAGAAACCTATGTATACAATTTAGATTACGAGTACTGACAAAACAATGCAAAAGAACTCTGGTGACCTGAGACTTGACCCTGCTGTTGACCATTAGCAGAGCAACCCCATTTCTGGAGTTCTGAAGGTTTTCCTGGATAGTCCCATGTGCCTAGCATTGTGGCTGAAAGAGACTTCCAGTTTGCCTTTTTCCTTCAAGTATTTTTAATTTGGAAATTGTATTTTATTGCACCTATACTAGATATGCTGCCGTTCACCGAGCTCTTAAGTATTTATTTCTTAGGTGGAATTTGGAAAACCAGAACTTCTTGACTTACGTCAGGTTTCGATTTGTGTGTGCCTAAAAGGAATTTTACTTTACCCGTATTTAGGCGTATTATGCCCGTCTTCAATCTGTACATATAGAAAAGTTGAATTCTTTTCTTTGTCCCGTTTCTTAGTTGACGAAGGATCAGAGATTGGTGTATTCGGGCAGACTGCTCCCCGATCATCTGCAGCTGAAAGACATTCTCAGAAAAGTAAGCTTCTACCATTGTTTATACCAGATCCGTTCAGAGTCTGAGAAGAGGTAGATCCTGAAGTTCTATTCCACCAGTTCACTCTCGGATTCTTAAAATCAACCACTTTGGGCAGCATGAAGATCAGGTGGGCAAGCCGAGACTGGTGGGCTGCGAGTGGCTCAGGTAGCAGTTCTGTATCCCCTGGGAGCTGAGTCTGAAGGCGGACTGTGCTCGTGCTCCTGTATTTGCCGTCTTGGGTGAGGAAACACTGCTGGCTTAGCTGAACGCGGGAACTCCGCCGTGATGCAGGCTTGTGGATGAAGACAGGTGTTCCTGTAAATCCTCCTGTACAGTAACTGCATGAAATGTTCATTCAGCTCGCTTGGGTTGGGAGTTTAATTCTAAGGCAGGACATAGAATGAAGCCTGAGTGTTGGTGTCCAGTGGTAAGTGGTAAAATATTTTGCAGTGTCGTTTTTGACAGCTTGAATACTAGTTACTTATTTTTTTAAAGACATTTTTGCCTTAGGTCGTGTGTGCTTGGAGAGAAGGAGGACACAGAGCCTTGAGGGGGAAAGTGAGAAATCACCCCCAGGGGAAATGCCGCTGTCCCTCCTCCTCCATTCTCTTCCTGGGATCTTGGGCACGCATGCACATGTGCCCGGTGTCAGTTTCAAGCCACCGGGTCTGGGACTTGAACAGCAGTTGGCCGTGTGGGAGTCCAGTGATGTACCTGGCCCCAAATACAGTTATTTTAATGATAGCTGTTAGCTCACAGCTGTTTCTGGAACATACTGTCAGACTTTTTTAGCTTTTGAAATGCCATTGTGAGTCAGCAGAACTGAGTAGCTTCATGTTTTACCTTAGCTCTTTGACCCAGCGTAACGCTCTGATTTAGAAGCTCTGTACCTTCCCTGCCAAGGTCTCCCATGGGAGACTTAAGATGCTCTGACACCGACCCTGTCCTTCAGCTTACATAGTGAACGCTGTAACTTCACCTTTGCGGCTTTGGCTCTTCATTTCAGTTAAGTGGGTTAATACGCTCTCAGAACTAGTGAAATTTACAACATGTTTTTCTTTTTCTCTCTTTTTTACAGTAGAATTTTTTTTTTTTTTATGGTAGGTCCTGGATTTTTGTTGTTGCTGTTGTTAAATCTTTCCCTCTCTTGCTCTTTTATTTTTTATTTTTATTTTTATTTTTAATGATAGCACATGTACTTGTGAGAGAAAGCAAGAGAGAGGAGCGCCCTCCGCAGTCCCGTCACACTGTGACTCCCCGTCCTCTAACTCCTCGGCCCCGAGGTTCCCAGGCCTCAGTCACATGGCTTCCAGCCTTGTAGGGCACTTGCTTTACCACGGCGGCTTGGGCCTTTTTCTTTCTAAAGACCATCTCTCCCATGAGAGGTAGAGAGAGCAGCAGAGGCAGATAGGAGCCCCCGGCAGAGCTCGGGCTGCGACCCACTTCTCCAGGCAGCCCAGGCATAGGCGTGCTTGCTCATCCACGCCTGCCATGCACAGGGCGGCCGCAGAGGCGAATCGGGATCTTCTCATGTGGGTCTGATTGCATTAACACTGACCCCTGCCTCGCCCCACGTAGATTTTATTTTTATAGAGCAGTTTGGGGTTGGTAGCAAAATTGAGGGAAGATGCAGGCTTACGCACATCCCCTGTCACCTGGCCCACTGTCAGCACCTGCAGCAGAGTGGTACGTTGGTTACAGCCAGTGCAGCTTCTGCCACACCCTCGTCGCTGGGTCCATGCCACTTAGGGCTGCCCTCGGTGTGCACACCCTGCAGGGTGTGCAGGTTACACGGGGTGCGTCTCCACCCTGTAAACCTCTGTGTTCTGCCTGCTCACCTTCCCCATTTTTATGCTTAAAACCCTTTCTGCCATGTCCTCTTTGAAACAATGGATATTTTTACTGTTTTAACCTGAAGATAGCATGAAATCTGCATGAATTTTTTTTGGGGGGGAGAGATTTTAGCTATAAGGCACATGTGCTCTCCAGAGAGACAGAGACAGAGACAGAGAGACCCAAACCAAGAAATCACCCCCTCCTTGGGTGGGATGGCCACACCACAATCCCTTCTCTATTCTCCTCTCCGAGTTTGTGTGTGCACATGTGCATGCCTGGTATGAATTTCAAGCCCCTGGGTCCAGGACTTGAACTACAGTCAACTACATGGGAGTTCAGTGACGTAACCATTATGCCACTGCTGGTCCCATGAGTACTTTATAAAAGGCTTTTGCTGTCAGAAACGGCTTCAGACCAGATGATGTAAAATAAAAATAGAAACTGCTCCAAAGAACTGTTGTGCTGCTTACAGAAAACGCTGAGCAGTATGCTTATGCTCTGCATAGACCTTTGTGTCATTTCTGTTAACGTCAGTGTACACCTTTACTTCTTTTTGTTTGGTTAAATGCTACAATTAGTTTTACCTGTTTCGTTTTAGAACATTTTACAGAACTCTCCCCAGAGGTGAATGAATGGGCTAATGGTGTTAGAATGGGCCTTTGAAGCTAGGTGTTCGGAGTCTGAGCACCTTCTACCTCGGCGCTTCAAGTTCTGTGAGCAGCCGCTAAGGGGTGCGTGAGCCGGGGGTCCTCCCGCTGCCCGGCCTGGCGCCCCTCCTGCCCGTGTCCCTGGGGTCCTGCGCTCAGCATTCTAACCCCAGGGATGTCTTCTCTAAACTCCCAGAGCAGTGTCCTTTGTGCTCCTCTGTTTCACGCAAAAGACGGTCTCATGCATTTCCCTAATTGTGCTTAAAGCGATCGTGCGGTTTCTTCATATCGTGACCTCTTTAAAGAAGGGGCTGACTCTCACCAAGTGCAATTCTAGGCACGAAACTAAGGTAGCTTCGTAGTCTCAATGGCTTTTTTCCATTTTCTCACCACTCAGCATCTTTCTTTCCTTACCTGCTTCTCTTTATCGTCTCTTGTTCTTTTGGAAAATGAGGACTCAGCCTTCATTCTTCTCAAAGTCCTTGCTCTGCCCCTTTGTCCTGTTTACTCGCTTTATGTCTAAATATAAACACCCGCACGGCTGCACTAAGCTAAGATGCAGACGCTAACCATCATTTAGAATATTTTCCTTCAGTCACCATTGTAGGTGTGTAGAGACACACGGAGTATTTATTTACATGAATAGAGTTCAAGTATGTGGTTTATATCTGTGCATAAATGTTATAGATAAAATGGCTTTTGATTTAAAAAACTATCACCTTGCTAAGATTAGGGCAAATGAGAGTATAAAGTTATTTGAGTTTCTTTTATAGTTGCTAAGTGTTAAGTAATGGGAATATTTTATCTATTTCAAACCTGTGAGTCTAAGCTTTAAGACAACTCTTATAATTCTGATAGTAAGGTGCTAGATGCTTTTATGTTGAAATAACAGTTTTTACTGATACACCTTTACATCATTGTTTGCTCTAAGACTGCTTGGAATGCAATTGTAGCAGTTTTTTTTTTAATATAGTGATTACTGTGTATTTAGACCATTTTCAAGCTTGGAGAAAACACTGAGTTCAGATGGGCCAGGAATTGAACTTACCTTCAGATGATAGCGGTTATTACTGGTGAAATGGCCGGGCTAGAGAGGAACCTGCGTTGGAGTGAAGTATTTCAGCACTGCTCTTGCTTGTGCTGTGCCTCTCCCAGCGCGGTCTGTTAAGTGTAACCTTCTTCTGTTTTAGCAAGATGAGTATCATATGGTTCATCTCGTGTGCGCTTCTCGGACTCCTCCCAGTTCTCCCAGAGCCGGAGCTGGCGCCGGCGTGGACGGAGAAGGTCGCCAAGCCTCAGCATCCGGCAGCAGCCCCGTGAGTTGATTTGGGAGGTGTAAGGTTGACATTTTCTGATTGTCCTTTTTTTGCCTCTAAAAATGAAATGAAAAACAGCTTGTGTGTTCCCGAGATTGTGTTTTGAACAGCTAGAGTTCGGCGTTAAAGCCCGCGGTGTTCCCTCTGGAGCCCTCGCTGTGAGTGGTAGCGTGCTGCGGGCTGGTCGGCCCTGGACCATTCTCTAGAGATGGAGTCCCCGACTGGGAGACAGAGTCGTGGATGGCGTGGAACATAAGCCCTCAGACCTGCGACGTTTCAGGAGTATTTAAGATACCTGTATAACGCGTTTTGTTCAAGGGGATTAAGTTATTTAAATGTTAAGTTCTCGTGAGTCTTCTTGAAGTAGATTGCTCAGTTAAGGACTTTGTTTTAAAATGACTGGATTTGAGCATACTTCCAACTGTAAGGGGATCTGGGTTTGAGCATACTTCCAACTGTAACGGAATTAACTTAATGTTCTTATCTGACTTGGGTGTTCGTGTCTCCCTCTTTATTTCTCTGTTTCCCAGCAGTTTTGGAAATCTTTTGTAATCATTAAACTTCTCAAATTAGGCATTCCTTACAAATTTTAAAGATATTACCGGCAATCCTTTTCTAATCAGTCGTGACTTCCCACAAGAGCTTTATAGAGTGCGTTTGGCATTGCCGGGTAGGTGAACATCTGGGCTAGAACCTCGCCAGCTGTGTGAGGAGGTACTGAGGCAGGATGGTAAGGAGCTGGGAAACCTTACAGGGAAACCTTACAGGCGCTGGTGGCCAGCGGCGTCTTTGGGGGCCTGGCCTAGCCAGCTGCTGAGTAAGATGAGCAGGCCCGGGGCTGGGAGTAGAGATTCCACTGCACTGAACATGCCTTGTCCGGACAGCCAGGGCCTGGTCGCCTCCCGTCTCGGCCTGAGCAGGACAGGATTTTCCAAGAACAGCAGATGGAGGTGGTCTTCAGGGAGTTTCGTTGTTTAGGGTTCTTGAGTCTTTGAGGTGCTGACATTGTCTGAGACAAGAATTTAGAAGTCCTGAAGGGGAAATTGCTCATTTTGTACAAAACCCAGTACTGGTGGCTTCGATAAGCAAGTAGAACTTTAGAGTGGAAAGGGATTGTGAAACTCGGATTCAGTCTTGTGCTCTGTTAGAAGTGGAGACAGAGACGTGGCCATGTCCGAGTAGCACCAGCCACGAGCACTTTTGATCCCCGCACCCTCCGCGTTATTTATACCGGTGGTAGGACTGTCGCCGCAGACAGGACTGCCACGTAGCTGTGCAGGGCTCCGTCCAGTGCGGCGAACGCTCACCAGGAGTTGGAGCTCCGAGGTGCGTGGGCGTCAGGGCAGGGACTTCGTCTGCATTCATTTAATCCTCACACTTGAATATGCTGTTAAGAAGTATTACTGTCCTGCTACAAGCTTTCTGTAGGTGAGAAATGGAACATTGTTTAATGAATGAGTTTTTACCCTGTGAACTCTTCAGTTTTATCAAAATTAAAATACCTTATATTGGTACAAGATTCAAATTAGGAAGTTTTTAAAATTCAGTTATTCTACAGAAGGATTTCATGAAGCCATTTTTAGCAACTTGTCTACTCTCATGAGTGCAATGAGTCCAATCTCCATGAAAAAAATAATTGCATTTTGTTTGTAGAGTTCAGATCATTCAGGACCGACGATGCCATCATCCAGTCAAGAAGCCTTGTCTTCGGCTGCTGCTTCTTCCTCTGAAGGGCTGAGGCAGCGAGCTCTCCCCCCAGCGCAAGCCGACCCGGCACAGAGGCACCTGTTACCCTACGCGACGCAAGGGTGAGTGAGGCGGGCTGCCGCCAGTCAGCTCCTCGTGCTGTCCACGAGCCCCGCGGAATGGCGCGTGCTGACCCTTACCCAGATGTCTCTGGCGCTTTGCCCCGTTGGACCTCGGGTACTGACGCTTCCACGTGTGGACGGCTTCGGAGCCCCTGTGTCAGCAAGGTTACTGGAGCTCCTTTGCCAACAGTGTGCATCCACTTCCCGTTTCCGTGTCACAATTTGGTCGTTGTTTCAGTGTTTCTGACTCTAACTTACTGCGTCTGTTTTGATCGACTGTGACCAGTGCGCCTTGATGTCGCCATGGTCATCGTTTAGGGTGCATGACCCACGTCCAGAGGAGGTGGTGACTACAACCAGTTCATGTTGTGCTGTTACAACTGCCTCCCACCTGGCCATTCTCCTCTCTCTTTAAAGACTGCTAGAGAGTGTGCATGCTTGCTCAAGGGAGACAGAGAGACAGTGCGAAAGTACCCCATGGGGGATGGTCATGTCCGGTTCACCCCGTCTCTTCCGTTTCTTCTGGGATTTCATGCACTCATGCAGATGCACCTAGTGTGTTTCTCAGGATACCAGGTCTGGGACTCAAACCCATAGTAGGTCATGTAGGATCCAGCCGCCTTAACCACCATCCACCAGCTAGTCTCCCCCATTTCTTTTTTTCCTCCCTGGGCCTCCCTGCTTCCTGAGATACAAGAGTACTGAAATGAGGCCGCGGACTAACCTTAAAACGGCCTCTAAGTGTTGATAGAGATGAAAGGAAGAGTCCCACGTTCTCACTTTCAATGAAAAGCTAGAAATGATTACGGAAGAAGGAATGTTTAAAGCCAAGACAGGCTGGAAATGAGGCCTCTTCCACCAGTTAGCCACGTCATGAGTACAGAGGGAAAGATGCTGAAGGCAAGGAAAGGTGGCCCCGTGAGCACGCAGCGGGTGATGGAGCGAGAGGTCGGGGGTCTCTGTGGCCGGGATAGGTCCACCTGTGCACGGCGGTCCCTGAAGCCGAAGCCCCGTCCAGAGCGAGGCCTCGGCTCTCCAGTTCTGTGCCGACTGGCACGGTGAGGGCTCCATAGGAAAAGCTGGCACAGACTGGGTCACGAGGTTTGGGAGAGTTGCCGTTGTCCTAGCAGGACGTGAAGGGAGGCAGCAGAGCCCGTGGCGGAAGCTGCAGCGGGTTCTCAGAGGGCCCATGGAGGCCGTGAAGAGGGCGGCCACGCCAGACGGCAGCTCTCAGTGCCGACGTGGCAGCTGCGTGCTGGAGGATGAGCCGTCCAGGACGCCCACACCCAGACACAGGTCAGTGCTTGGCTTCCAGCGCCAGAGGATGCGCTGAGTCTCCTGTGCGGGCCAGCGCGGTGGTGACTGTGAGTGGAAGCCAGGGCTTCCTTGCCGTCATGGAAAACCTCAGCATCCTCAAGAGGGAGCCGGGCCCAGCAGGTAGTGTGGTGGGTACGGAGCTGGGCTCCCAAACGCTTCTCCACGGTGCCCGGCCCAGACCTGGTGGCTTGAAAACCATGCTGAGAGCGTGTGCGTGTGTGCCCGAAATCCCGAGAGGAGACTGGAGGACAAGAGGTGGCCACGTGGCCACCCCTCTCGGAGGTGATTTCTCACTTTGGTGAGTGCACGTGCCCTGTGGCAGAAACCTAGACAAGAACCAGATGTGCCCTGTGACAGGGACAGCAAAGCCAAGCCGGGCGACGGCACCTGTGTTTAGAGCCTCGCTCGTGACTGTCTGCCACGGCTGACTGCACAGAAGAGAAGAGATCAGTGCTCACCGCCCACACACCCGGTCTCTGAGGGCTCTGGGGAGATGTCCCAGGGGTTCCTGTTGTCTGCGTGCTTGACAGCACCACCTCCATTCTGCAGTTAGTGGAGCGTGAAGGATTTTGACTTTCAAGTCTTAAGATTTAAGAAATCATTTTCTAGGACCAGCATATTGCATTGTGGTTACGTTGTTGGACTCCCTGTGGTTCAAGTCCCAGACCTGGAGGCTTGAAAACCCTGAGAGAGCAATGGAGGAGAAGGGATTGTGGTGTGGCCATCCCCCCTGGGGGATGATTTCTCACTTTCTGTCTCTCTGTCTCTCTCTGTCTCTTCGGTGATAGCACACACCCTATAGCAAAATTATCTCTAAAAAAGAAGGGGAAATACGTTTCCTACCGTAGGTAGTGATCCTCCTGATGGATCTGGGCAAAGGCCATTGGAAGCCCTCTGGAAAAGATCCATCACTCTAAGTGCCAGTGAGAACATTCACGACTCACAGAAGGGCAGAATGTTAACACTGGAAGGAGCTGAGAAGATGCTCTCTCAGTGCTCATGGACTACGTGGAGGGGTTCGAGGCTCAGTAGAGGAGGAAACTGCAGACGTGGCAGAAGTAGCAGGAGAGCTGCACGCGGCGGCCCCCGAAGATGGGACTGAGCCGCCGCGTCTCAGACGTCCACGGGCGAGACGCTGCTCTTGAGGGTGAGCTCTTCAGGTGGAATCTGCTCCTGGTGAAGACAGCAGGGATTTAGAACACACCGAGGGCTTACGTAGCAGAGCAGCAGCCGTGTTCGGGAGGCCGAGCAGCTCTGAGCGCCATTGCTGTGGGTGACGCCCCACCACGCAGCGAGGAAGCGTCATCTGTGTGGCGGACATCATTGTCGTTTGCAGAACTCACAGAAGGCCCAGCCACTGGCTGGTGTGTGGAGCTGGGAGCCACGTACCAGCTGCGGTTCAAGTCCCCACGCTGAACTTGGTCCGAACGTGCCATGCGTGTGCAGGTATCCAGGACCCCGGAGGGCTCAAGGAACGGAGAAGAGGGGATTGCACCACGCACACGCCTGGCGGGGTGTGCTCTGTCTTTGGTGTGCACGAGCTCCCTCATAGACGGGGAGTTGCACAGCTACCACAGCCTTCAGCGACCTCCTCCCCATCAGTCAGCAGCCGTCCAGGAGGGATGACCCTCCCCCAGCCTAAAGTCCACACCTGGCTGAAGCCTCGGGTGGTCGCTAACCTCGAGCACCAGTCTTCTCTTTACTGTTAGAGGGCAGGGTGTGTGCACGAGAGGAAGGGAAGGTGACAGAGGAAGCAGCACGCCCCACCCCAGAAGCTCTGCTCACACTGCAGTCCTTTTCCCTCCTGTTCTCCGTTCCATCTGATGGGGCTGGGCCCAGGATGTCTGGGTCCGGGCACATGACATATGCCTCGTGTGAGGCCGCCTGGGCTGAGACTGGCACCCTGTTCAGCCTGTGGGGTCTGGCTTCCTCACTGCTGTGCTGCGGGGCTGGCCCTTCTAGTAAAGCTCTTTCTAAATGAAGGCATGTACATTGCTGCTAGACACGGTGCTGTTGCACCCCTAGATTAAGCGCAGTGTAAGGCGACTTTCGGGCCGACTACCCGGGGCCTGCCTGATGGCGAACCTTGGTTTGTTGCGGTTTCTGGATCGAATGTGCAGTGTGTCTGATGTGCGCCTCTGTTTGGAAACTAGCAGGTACCTGGAGCAGTGCTTTTGAAAGCTGGAAACGTATCAGGTCATCTAGGGCTGGGCTGGGGCAATGGTCCCCTCCTGATGCTCCTCGTCCCCTGGGGATCTGGTGCAGGCGCAGCTGCAGGTGTAGGCTCGGGTTCTCATGCAGCAGGTGGGGCCTGAGAGCCAGCTCCTGGATGACGCTGGCGCTGTGTCCGAGCCCCGTGGTGAAGAGCAGGGACTCAGCCTCCCTGTGCTTGAGCCAGTGACTGCCAGGGAGTGGGTGGATGAGGGGTGCGGCAGGGTGCAGGGCCCAGCAATCTGCTTTTAAGGAATTCATGGCATTTCTGGTCGGCCAGCCCTTAGTACACTGGAGGTGGAGGACATCTGTGATGTGTGAGAGGGTAGGCCGGCTACTGCTTGTTACCCGAGTCCCCGTGGTGGTGAGGGTCTGCAGACACGTGCCCTTGGGACGTTTACTGTGGCCACCTTGTACCCAGCAGTTACGGGGGCCTGGGGTAGGCAGTGTATGTACCTGTAGCCACAGGACAGCACGTCTGTCCGAAAGCTCTGAGAGTACGGCCTCAGAGTATGATTGGACCTGTGTGGACTGAAAGCGGAGTGTTTGTCGGGGGTACTTTGTGAAGTAACTCAGGTAACAGGCAGGGCTGGCCGTTCTGCCGTGCACGTCAAACCATGGGGTTGTCGCATGTGGCACTGGTCTGGATCCATGGCAGGCTGGAGACGAGGAAGTGGTGAGGGCCCCTGCAGAAGGGTGAGGTGGGTCACACTGTGAAGTACGCTCTGCCTGCTGTCCTGGCAGGGTGGTGCACACTCAGGTACTTGTTGCTAACAGCGGCTCACTCAGTTCACTTCTCAGCAGAGAGGAAGGAGGCCAATATACAGCAGACTAGAAGAAAATGCTCCTGGGGACCAGCAGATGGCGTAATGGTTACCTCTCCGGGCTCCCGGGTAGTCGGCTGCAGTTTGAGTTCCAGACCTGGGGACTGACAGATGGCGTAATGGTTATTACATTGCCGGGCTCCCGGGTACTCAACCGTGGTTTGAGTTCCAGAGCTGGTGACTTAAAACTCACACCGGGTACGTGCATGTGCATGCCCAAAAATCCCAAGAGGAGAATGAAGGAGAAGGGATTGTGGTGTGGCCATTTTCCCTGGGAGTGATTTCTTGTTTTCTGTCTCTCTGTCTCTCCAGTGAATGCACATGCCCATAGCAAAAATCTCTCTTTAAAAAAAAGGAAGGAAACTCAGCTTGTCTTTTTTTATTTTTATTTTTTATAGAAAGGTTTTTGCTGTAGGGTGCATGCACTTGCCAGAGAGAGAGAGAAAGAGACAGTGAGAGGGAAAGTGCAGTATCACTCCTCAGGGGGATGGCCACCCCGCAATCCCTTCACTTTCGCTCTCCTCCTGGGGTTTTGGGCGTACACATGTGCCTGGTGTGATTTCCAAGCCTCTGCGTCTGGGCCTCAAACCACAGTCGGCCCTGTGGGAGCCCAGTATCTTAGCCGCACCACCTGCTGGCCCCGTCTTA